GGGGGGGGTGAGGTCTTGGCATCCCCAGAAAATACTGAGCCCCCTCAGCAGGAAAGAGTGGGCGGGTGTGGACCAAGCAAAGTGCTCTCTGGAAAGACTTTGAGAAAGGAATGCAAATCTCTTCTTTGGAGCTTTTCCTAGAAAATGGAATGAAAAACTAGCCCTTGGGCAAAACTCTATCTGCCATTTGTTTTGTTTATGTTTTTTCCATTGATTTTTAGAGGGACTGGAAGGGGAGGAGAGAGGAGGAAGAGAAGAGAATAGAGAGAGATCGCTTGGTTGCCTCTCACCCGTGCCCGACAGGGCGGGCACTGCACCCGCAACCCAGGTAGCTCCTGTGCCTGGGAATCGAGTCACAACCCTTTGGTACAAGAGCGGGCGCTCTAACCATGGAGCCACGCCTGCCAGGCCTCTGCCGTTTGTTTTGCATGGCCTGAATGAGTTCTGTGTATTTATTTTGCTGAGGGGGGAAATCAAACGAGTAACACTGTTCTGCAATGCATGGACATGGTACGGAATTTACAATCGGGGCATAAATAAGGTTTTCCTGGGCCGCTGCCACATCTGCTGCTTCTCGTATTGTGGACGGTGGCTATTGTACTAAAAAGTGGAGTTGAGTAGTTCTGACCAAGACCGTGTAGCCTGCAAAGCCTGAAATATTTACTATTTGGCCCTTTCCATACAGCGTTTGCTGATCCCTGCCCTGAAAGAGAAAAAAAAGAGAGAGGAAGAGAGATACGCTGGAAAAACCAATCAGTAATACTGAAACCGAGCAGTATCAGGAAGCTAAGATAAGCCCGAAGGGGACATGGCATGACCCACTGCTCCAGTTTTCTGGTGTCTGAAAGCAGTGTAGTTTTGACCTGGTTACTCATGACTCAAATAGAAGAAAAAAGAGGCAGTTCTTAGGCCATGCAAGCAAAAGTGAAATCACAGAGGATATATTAGGACTATAAATACTCTTAGGAATCTCACCCCACCCTCTACTTTTACAGAAGAGAAAACTGTGGCCCAAACACACTAAATCTTGATTCTTGCACATGATGATGATAATAATAAAAGCTATCACTTATGACTTTCTTTTATCGGCCAAGATCCATGATAGGAGCTTAGTATCTATCAAATGTAATCCCAATAACACTGCAAAGATGAATTATTATTCCCATTTTACAGACAAAGCAACTGAGGCTCACTGGGGTGAATTGGCTTACCTAAGGTTATGTAGCGAGGGAGAGCTGGAGTTCATACTGATTTCAAAATCCTTGATGGGTAAGCGGGTGGGGTGCTTTGGTTTAAATCATCTAAGCAACGTCATCTCCACTTCATTTTATGTGTGTTTATGGTCTGTGGTTTTCAAGCCTTGGGTAGCCCTGGAGATCATGAGTGCCCATTCTTTCACCAAGGAAGCTGTGCTACCTTCTGTCACCGGAACCTCCTAGTGGTCCCTTATCGGATAGATTTTCACATGCATTGGTTTCAGACCCTTATGATGGTCCCGTATGCCTGACTAAAAAAAACCCAACACAACAAAACCATTTTTAGACCAAACCACATCTGAGTTCTGTTTGCCACAGGAATTCTGGGTGATGAATTCCCCATCTCTTCATGTCCCAGGCCTACCCACCTTCACCCTCAACCGCCCCCTTCTATGAGGTGCATTCCACTGAAATTCTACCTTCTTTCTCTCTTCTTTTTTTTCTTTGGCTCCTACTCCCACCTTACAAGGGCAAAAATCTGTTCGTTACTTTTTTTGAATTTTTATCTCCACTGACCTGAACACACTGATGTGCTTATAGTAAATTCTTATGAAAACTTCAGGTCTGAGTGGGCTAGCTGAAGACCCCAGGGTCTCAGATCATGAAGATGTTCTTTGTGATCTCATGAGCCATATTTAATAGATCTAGCTTGGCCAGATCATTGCTTTACTGTACTTTTAAAACATGAAAAGGATGCTAGTAAATAATGTGTTGTTTGAGATTATTGTACTGATTCTTCAGCTTCCCAGGCAACACTAGATTTCTGAATGTTTCTTTTGTGTGAAGACTTAAAGTCATACACAATGTGATGCTGTAAAAAGTTTTAAAAAGTCTTTTCGATCCATTGTGAGCTTGTTGAGAATTTAATAAATGGTATTACGTAAAGCAGAATAGACCTCTTGTTTCCTAGAACTTCTAGCAGGGTGAGCATCTTTGCTCTAAAAATGCAGTTCATATCTCTGTATTATGAAGCCAACAATGTGGGCATCGTATGAAAGCTCCTTCCTTCATCTGTACCAGCGTCATTTCCACTGAGCCCTTGAAAGAAAGGGAATCTTCTAGGAAATTAGATGAGTCATGGGATAAAATGCAGCCCTTTTTCTCCCCAGGGTTAGAGGGGGTGTGGATCAAGAAATTTCCCATTCACTGAAACCAGGACTCCTAAAGATTTAGCTAATATCCCAGGAGATGAAGAGCGATTGTGAGTCAGGAACAAGACCTACGGAATGATTTCTGACAGCTGTTTAGTTACCTCATCCAGGCAGTTAGGAGGGTGTTACATGACATGAGATGCCAGTTCTGCACATTTCTTTCATTCTTAAGCTGCCTCGTCAAAATTTGATAACAAAGAGTGTGAAAAGGTTCTGGATAAAAGAGTCAACCACTCTTTCACTGACCCCTTCAAAGCTTAAAGAATCGGAGTTCTTGGCGTGTTCTTCTATAAGTGGTAGTAAGAATAGTAATAATAGCAATTTAACATTGAGGTGGTTGCTATTATTCTAATAACTATTAAATTATAGCTTAGAGTTATTAAATTCTTGCTATATGCTCAGCATTGTTTCAATTACTGTAGTCTACCTATTTGTTACTGAGAAGATAGTAATTATTATAATCATTATTAAATCATAACTAAGACTCACCAAATTCCTGAATTAAGATTATTAATATTCCAATTGCTTTATATGCATTAACTGATTTATTTTTTACAATAATACCAAACAAAAATAAGGACTTTCATTAGCCCCATTTTCCAGATGAGAAAACTGAGCCCAGAGGCTGACTTGCCAGGCGTTGCACAGCCTAAGGGATGGGAGCCGTGTGAAAGTGGTACCTAACTCAACTTCCGTCCGACTTCAGGCTCCTCCAACTTCAGGGTCCTCCTGCTGCTACCTGTGGGACTTTGGGCAAGTCAGACCCACTCTGACCCCCACATCCTGATCCGTGAAATGACTGATTATAAAATCCATATCAGAGAATTGTGTGAAACTGAGCCCAACAGTTGTGGAGCTTTTCCTATGCACTGGCACTTGTCTAAGCACTTTACATGAACTAGTATTATTATTGTGACATTGTGATTACCATTACTAGTCATCAGCTCTATCCAGAACCTGCGTTTCTCTCTGTTCATGAATTCTTTAAGAAGCCTGCAAAAATATATGATTTTCAAAAGAGAGAAACACTTGATTTTTGTGTGATTTTCATATCCTCATTTTTTGCAAAGTTCTTTAAAATATTTAATCTTAAAAACTTAAACAGAAAGTAAAACTTTTTATAGTCTCACAGTGATAGAAACATAAAGTGAGAAGTGAAATCTCTGCTCACTCTCTCAGTTCTCCCTCCCAGTTAGCCCACCACCATCCATCCATCCATCCATCCATCCATCCATCCATCCATCCATCCATCCATCCATCCATCCTTCTGTTCTTTCACTCCACAAATATTTTTTGAGTACCCTTTCAATGCTAGTAAGAATTTTAGGCACTGGTGATATAATGGTGAATAGGACAGAGAAAGATTCCTGCCCTCACGGAACGTACATTTTACTGAAAGGAGAGAAAAAATAAAAGGAAGCAAATAAAAATCCGTATAGTAACCAGTGCTACAAGGTCAATAGACAGGGAAAGAGGAGAGAGAGTGATGGGGGGAATGGAAGTAAAGAGTGAACTGTCACAGATGGGTCAGGGAGGGGTGTCTGGAAAAGTGACTTTTGGTGAAAGCGGGAAGAGTGAGAGGGAGGCAGCTATATGAAGAACCTAGAGGAGAATTTTCCAGGGGGAACAAATAGCAAGTGGAATATTTTTGAGGGTCGAAAGGAAGGTCTGGAGTTGGTAAGAGTGGTGGTGGCGGAAGGTGGTGAAGTTGGAGAGGCGGGCAGCCCACGGGGCCCTGCAGGCCACCTTGGTGAGTTGAGCTTTTATGAATTTGCAGTAGGAAGTCCCCAGAGGGTAGCAGCCTGGAGGGTCTATGAACTAATTTCTACTCGAACCTGATGAAAAATTCTAATCCACGTATGGTAACTCTCAGCAAAAGTCACCCCTTGGATATCCAGAACACCTCTGCCTAAGTGGCTTGGGCAAAATGTACGTTTGTGTTACTTCCTGAGCCTGAGTACCGATAGCGCCTTTAGGTAACTGGAATGTATCGTTAAGTCTTTATTGACACAGTCTTCCAGTTCTGAGTTCTCTTGGGATTCATTCAAACTGACAGACTGGCATTGCTGTTGGAAATGTGCGGGACAGAACCAGAGTGGCTTTCTGGCAGGACTGAAACCAAAGCTCCTAACGACGTAACTCCCTTACCTCCACTCCCAGTGTCTGGCCCACCGTCTGTCCCATGACTGAGAGTCCTACATTAATTCAGTGGATTAAGACCAAAGAGGCCTTGAGTAAACTGAAACTAAAGTAAATGGTTTCCAAAGGCTAACCAAGTAATATCCGCATTATATCAGTTGCAGGTCAGATTTTATTCCTTGAAACACTGGTTTCCAAACATGTCAGAATTACCTTGGGAACTTGTTTAAAATATGTGTCCCAAGGTTAGCTCCAGGAAATTCTAACTCAGTAGGTATGTGATGGGCCCAGGGAACACATATTGTTACCAGGCAGTCCAGGTGATTCTGAAGCAGGTGTCTACGAAGGCACAGAGACATTGAAGGAGTTCTGGGTATGTTAGGTTCTTTGAATGAGTTTGTGTTTGTGGAGTAGAGAACAGTCCCTAAGAAGGGCATCTTGGTGGGAACCTTAGGATGACAAGGACTGAGGTACAAAGTGGGCAGAGGAAAGAATGGGTGATTCAACAGTAAGAAAAAGACTCAACAGGCCAGTCCTGGATGAATCAGTGGCTTTGAAAACAGTGCCCAGAGCTGAGGATACAACCAGTCTAAGGGCCGCGTGGAAGCCATTCCCTCCTCCTAACTCTGTAGTCATTTCCTTCTAATTTAAAAGCCGGTCCAACAATTACTTGGCATCATTTGGCTTCAGAACACTTACTGGAGCTATCAGCTTCTTTATGCACTTTGGTTTAGGCTTTGTTTGCTTCAGCTCAGAGGCCTCGAGTGGTGACCTTGGACCCTGGACATTTGCCCTTTCTTTTCCATGCAGGGTCATTTTTAACGAGATAATTCATTAACATGGAAACCCAAGAACTGAAAAGCTCCAGCTTCTAGGCAGAGGCTTAAACTGCTTGTTTTGAAAACAGGTGCAGGGAATTAATGGCCCTAAAAGACATCATAAAACAAAGACTCTTTCCTTGTCCTAATAAATACTCATTCTAGTTCTGGAGACCAAAGTGTTTGGGTCAGCCGGAGCCCTGCTTGCCATATTTATTCCCCCTAACACTCTACCTTCTGGCCTTTGAGTCCACTCTCCATTTATAGTGGGAATTCATGTTTCTCTCAGAGAGCTGAGTGCTCCGAGGTAACCTGTCACCGATCTCGAGTCCATCTGGCTCTGCTTCAGCTGTGTCCTCCAGGGCACTCTATAGCTGGTCTTGCTTGGCGGAGAGCCTTGGAAACATTTTCTCTCCATTCTACAAATTGTCCCAGAAGAGCCAGAAAATTGGATGGCACCCCAAACAGCTCATAATCATGTTTTTCTGGCCATCTCTGAAGGGTGATGGTGCTTTGGAAAGAATTAATCTCTTGGTTTATGAAGATAAATGCTTGTTGGCTTTATCGGAAGGTACATTTTGCTCAGTTATTTACAATCCCAGGGAACAGAAAGAGCTGGCCCCTGAGACTCCCCTGCTGATCTATGGGATGCTGTGACTCTAGGCACACCAGAAGAATGTAAATGACATGACCCCGAGGCCTGCGAAAGCAGCCCTTAAAGGAGGTCAGCCCCCACCCCAGGGAAAGGAGAAGTGCCCTAGGAAGCTCACCAGCGAGGAGGGCAGCAGCTATGCTAATGTTTTAACCAATTTGTGTCAGTTACAAATTGCCTCTCAGGAGAAGGTTCCTCTGGAGAAAACACTTTGCTCGTAGAAACATCCACAGTTGGGTGGCAGTAGCCTGTGAGATGTTTTAGAAAGCCTCAGCGCTCAGACTTGACTCATTACGCGTGGGTGATGAGAGCCCACGGGTGTATGTAGGAGAACAGAGCATACAAGGATCCCTTCATCGGGAGTTGGAGAAGCAATGGGGCTGCAGGGCTGGGGGAAGGATGGTTGACAGTGTATAGAGATGTGTGTTCCAAATGTAATCCTCGCAGTAACCCCTTGAGGTTGGAGGGACCTCTCTAAGCCTAGACTTGCACATCTGTAAAATGGGAATGTCAGCAACCAAGGTCGTGCAGCTGGTAAGTGGCTGGATGAGCTCCATGTTTTATGTTATTGTGTATATGACTCTCATCTACTCCTTACAGCTTTCTTTGAGCCTGGGAAGGGCTTGCTCCAGGCACAATTACAAAAAATAACAAACTACTGAATCTGGCATAGGCGTCCTCTCCCTTTCTTAATTCCCTTACTCGACTCAGGAGCCTTATTCCAGGATTTCATTTTCCTCACAGTCTTGTCTTCCTCTTATAATTCTTAATAAGGTATCAGCCTTCTCACAAACATTTTCATTTCAGTTGAAATGAGCAAGTCCAAGCTCCAACAACCCCAGATTGGGTAATAAAAAAGGGATGCTGCCAACATGTGACAAATACACTTGAGATGAGAGAATTCTGTTAGTTTACTCAAGAGTGAGGAAAACTGCAAATTGTTTCCCAGAGCTCTGTGAGATAATAATAATATAGAAGTTAAAATAAGTTTATATAACATACATTGGTATAGGGTCAGTTGTCTGCTTATTTACAGAAAGCTACGGTTGCTCATTAAAGGGAAGTGGATTGTGTTTGTAGGGGAAAAAACCCTAGTCCTGGAGTTTTGCAGACCTGAGATGGTTCTCCTCTTGCTTTCTGCTTTTGTGGTCTTGGGCCAGTTATTTAACTTTGTCCAGCCTCAATTTCCTCATTTGCCAAATAGTAACAATGAAACCTAGATGTTAGGGTTGTGCTAAGAATTAAATGAGGTGATGTGTGCGGAGCGCTCCGTTAGGGAGCCAGCATCATTGTTAGAGTCAGTATGGAAAGAAATACTTTCAGACTTAGAAGTGATAAAACCACATTTCTCTCAATGTACTGTTTCGCTCAGATGGTTTTCTTGTTTTGTGTTTTCTCTCTCTTTCTCTTTCTCCCTCTTAAATATGTTTCCTATCTTCCAAGGCAGAAACAAAGCAAACACCACTTTATAACTTGCCTAAACTCTAATCAGCTCTCTGAGAAACTCAAAATCTGTTGCCAATTTTCAAGGAAGGAGCTGTGGAAAGAAATCAAACAAGATTCTCAAGGGCCTGCCCTGTGGGTCTCCCAACTTGAAGCTTGGTGCTTACCTATGAGATGGTCAAGCTTGTCTCTGCTATTCCTAAAAACCACCCAAGCAACAAAGGTTGCCTTTGGATTTTATATCAGAGCAGGAACCACCAAATCCATGGACCAGATTTCAGCTAATGCAGTTAGTCTGGAGGAGCACGTAGCATCTACTGAGTCATGGCCCTCTCAGCAAAACTCTGAACAGATGCCAAGTTTACAGCAGGGCGCAGCAGCCCAGGGAGGCCCGGATTTAAGTGCCAAGTCCCGCAGTCTCGTCAGTGTTGTCTTTTCCCTTTATGTTTTCCAGGTACTCTCCCCTGGGTATTGCCTGCCTGATCTGTGGGAAGATCATCGCCATCAAGGACTTAGAAGTGGTTGCCCGGCAGCTGGGGATGTACATGGTCACGGTGATCGTGGGTCTCATCATCCACGGGGGCATCTTTCTTCCGTTGATTTACTTTCTGGTGACCAGGAAAAACCCTTTCACCTTCTTCGCTGGCATTTTCCAAGCTTGGATCACTGCCCTGGGCACCGCTTCCAGGTAGAAAAGCAGAAACTGCCTTTCTTTCTCTCTGCGAACTATTTTCCCTCTTGACCACTTCCTCGGTTTCCAAAACCGTCCCATCCCAACGTTCAGTGAGAACACTTTGGACATCTTATTAAGATATCTTTGAAAAAGGTGAACACTTAGTATTTTTGGCTCCTTCTAGGAACTTCTGAGCTTTCTGATGACCATTTTTGCCGGTAGCCCACTGTGTTGGAAATATGACCTCACATGAGATTCCTCAGATGAATGCATGCTATTCATCTACATGCCTAATTTTCCAAATGTAGCATTTAGTTATTAGTTTTAAATGTTTTCCAAAAGGATGTAACAGATGTTATTCTAGTTAAGAAACTCTGCTGCCCATGATTTGAAAAAGTGCTATCACAAAACATCAGCCTATCAGAGTAATTTTCCAAAAAGAGAACGAAATTTTATAGGGAAAATGGTATGTTAGGTGAGATTTTTCAAACGAACCATAAGTCAGTCAAGTCTCTGACCTCTGCATGAGCCTCCAATGGATCATTCTGCCCCATCGATTTTGAGAAAATCAGGCTCCTGGCATTGATTTGACCAGACATTGACTGAGAGTCAGTTCCTTCTTCATTACCTGGTTCAAGCACCTCAGAAGCCAACGAGGACTCTGAATATATTCAGAGAAAACAATTTTATTTATTTCACCTTGCAATGAACTTAGCAAAAACAAACAAAGACAAATACATAAGAAATGCTTGGCAATTCATTCTTGCCATCTGCAATAGTTGTTTGTATTTCCTTGGGTCACAAACCAAGACCGAGGTCATAAAGCAGGTGGCAGGGAGGCAAGCAAACCCATGGCTCAGCATTATCTCTCGAGTCACAAGTCAACAGGTCCTTGTTGCACTGCCAACGAGGTGGCCGCTCCGTGACACAGGGCCACTGCTGTTCCAAGGCTAGTGAGCAGGCAGTCAGGTTTTCCTTAAGTGACCTAGCAGGCAAATAGTGGCGACTGTCTGGGAAGTCAAATTATATTTCCACATTGCAAATCAATGAGAATCCAGGACTAGTAGACTGTGGGGTTCCAGAAAAATCTGAAATATACAGTCCTGGGCATGTAGATTCTGCATGCAGTTTCCTAAGGTGAAGGGAAACACCTTAAAATTTGCCTTTCCTTTTTTAGGCTTATAAATGTGCTATGGCTAAATTTCTCTATCCATAAAGATCCTCTCTCTTTGGAGAAAAAGTAAATCTTTTTTTTCTCCAAACATAAAAGTAATTATGTTGCATTTTATTTTTGATTTCTGGTTATGAGCGTGGTATCTGCTCATTGTGAAAAAGCTCAGACAATGAATAAAATATTGAAGACTCAGTGAACATCACCAGTGACCCCACCACCCAGTGATCACTGGTGCTAATAACCTTCTAGTTCGTCTTTACAGTTACGTATCTTTCCAGTTCTTACTATATAGCGATATAGTAAACCGCTGTTTTTCACTTGTCAGCATCTAAAAGTTACATCTATCAGTGTAGCTCTTTCCACTGTTTTAAAAGCTGTTTAATAGTGCTCTGTACGTATCCCAGTACCACCCCCACCCCCACCCGGGGATGCACATTTAAGGCGTGTCTATTGAACGGGACGGTGACAGTCATCTTTGCAGATACGTCTCTGCAAGGCCGTCTGACGACCCCCTCAGGATATGCTTCTAGAAGTGGGCTTTCTGAGCGCAGTGGTAAGCACGTTGGCCGTCTAAAAGCATGTCACCAGATTGCTATTCAGGAAAGCGCATTGGCCGAGGTCCCACTGCATGGGTGTGGGGCACGCCCAGCACCACCTACTCACAGCGCTGGGGTTATCAGTGACTTCAGTACTTTCCACTCTGATTTTGAAGAATGACCTCATTGGACGTGCATTTCTTTGATTACGAACGAGAGGAGGAATTTTTTTTTTTTTCTTCTGGTTGGCCACCGTGCCCTCCCCTCCCTCACTCCGTGAATTGTTTGAGATCTTAATTTCCTGGTGGGGCATTCATCCTCTCCTGGTTGGTTTGCAGCTCTCTTCATGTATCAGAATAATATTAACTCATGTGTCAAATGTTACAAATAATGTCCCCCACTACTTTACACTTATCTTAAAATTTTACAATCCTTTTTGCCAATAGAAGTTTTTAATTTGCATGTTGTTGCAGCTGTCAGTTGTTGCATTTTCCTTTATTATTTAGAATTTCAGTTTTGCTCAGGAACATCTCCACAAAAGATAATGAAACATTACTTTATATTTTGTTCCAATACATTTATGGTTTTGATCTTTAAGCTATTTCAAAAATATTATAATTATTCTTTCTTTCAATAACTAGACAATTATCCCAGTACCTTTATAAGATAAGGTAAATCTTAAAGGGCATATTCGTATTTAAATCAGACAAATGCTTGGGTTATTTGGCCAAAGCCACACAAATGCTAGACCCTTTTTTGCTTTTTACCCTGTATTTCATTTGGGAAAAAAAAAAGAGAGAAACCAATGTGGTTTTAATCTTCAGTTAAAATGTGGATGTAGAATTTCCTTTTTTTTTTTTTTTAAGAAAAAACTTTTAAAAAAGCCAATGTGATAAGAGTCATGTACTGAGAATTATCTTTGCCACCATGGCCACAGCGGGAAAATATGGAGCCCAGGACAGCTAGCTAAATATCCTTCCCACCTCCTTGGGCCTTGGACTGAATGGGGATTTGGAGGGAGGGGTTGACCCCCTTTTCTCAGTGGACACAGAGGCCAGTGTCAGCGAGGCGGAGGGAGGAGGAATGGCCTGGGACACACCTCTCTGCCTCCCTCCCACTTTGGTGCATGCTGTTAAAACTAATCTGGGGAACAAAAAGAATCTCAAGTATCTGATAGTTATTATTAGCAACATTTGAAGACTCATATGGCTACTGAACCAGGGTCTCAAAAAACAATGTCGGAATGTGGGAAGGACAGGAAAGCATAAAATGCTCACGTCTCAGATCGAATTGGTTGGTTATATATAGATTTTTAAGACACAAAGCCTGACCGGTATAGAAATTGAAAATATGTTCATGCTTTACCAATTATTTTCCCTAATCTGTGTAATTATCTAAGGACCCCTTTGATGACATTTTGGGAAAATGGATGCAATAATACGAATTAGTGTATTCCAGTCCTCCCAGAAATGTCCTTAGATTCATACCATTGAGATTCCGGAACGCCACCCACAGCTGAGCAGCCATTTCGGACCAGTCAGGGTGTCCTGGCAACCCTTTGAAAGGGTCCTAGGAAAGCGTGGGGTGGGGGAGATGCAGCTGGGAGAGGCATAAAGGGAACCCAGCTTCTTATTAAAGCAGCGGGGTTAGCAAGCCAGGTGTGATGGCATCCCCACCTGTGAATGAAGCCAGACTCCAACTTTTCTCCCTAGGTTTATAAGATTTTAGTAACAAGAGGTCTCCAAACGTATTTTCTCCCTACCTAAGACCAAGGAGGGGGCCTGAGGCAGGCCCCTAACCTGAAATCACAAAGAATACTCCAGTCAGAGGACTCTGGCTTCCCTAGGTTGTTATTAGTAACTTGTGGGTCAGTGGTTAGATAAGATGCAGGTTTAGGTGACCCGAATTTTACAGCTTCCAATTCCTTGGTTCAGAGCAGGCCCTGGAATCTGCATTTCAAGTAGCTTCTCTGAAGCTGAGGGTCCTCTCCCACTCTCTGAGAAACCGAGACCTCGGCAGGTGCTGTCCAGCTTGGCTGGAGCCCTAATTCTGACTAGTAGGAGGAGAAACTGTGACTAAGGGTGTAAATGCAGGAGAGAAAAAAGCACTGTCTGCTTTGGAGGTTTGCGTAGGAAAACCCCCAAAAAACAAGAGCCTAGGTCACAAAGCTCTCCTGTGGCAGTGTGGGTGTTTGGCACTGCTTTCCTTGTTACGTAAACCTTGAGGCCAGTCCACCTCGCCTCCCATGCACCTCTACCCCATGGAAATACTATCCTGGCCTTCAGCAGACCCGATCCTACAGGTCTCCTGTTTTAGAGGCCACATGGCCACGTCAGGCGCTCTGACCTGAGAGGCCGGGTCATGTGGTTGCGATTCCCCGTCCCATGCCCGGGAGGAGCGGGGGTGAAGTCACTGCAAAGCACATGCTTCTCTGCCCTGTGTCGCTGGAGAGCCTGTAGAGTTGGCCATTTATCAGGGAGTTGGACTGCCTGTGAGGGTCCCCAGTGAACTGTTAGAAGCTCGGGTTCAGGCTTAACGGCGCTGAGCGTGTTTGTCCAGCATCTGCAAAAGTAGAGGCCCAGCTCAGGGCAGTTCCCCGGGCCCGCACCAACCCACGTCCTCATCTTGCTGGAATCGGCGTCCCAACGTGAAGTCGCGGGCCAGTCCTCATTCCATGTCACTGCTGACAGCGGATTTTTCCCCTGAGCCATCCTTTTTCTCACATTCCAGTTAAGGTGGGCAATCAGGTGGGCTTCGATATGAATCCAAGGTGGAAATAGTGACGGAAGGAAAAGGAGAGCTTGAAGCTCTGAGGAGATCTAAAACCCCAGGACCAATGAGAGGATTTTGCTGCCTGTTAGCATCTTAATAAGATTGAATTTGAGCCTTCAAATGCCTGGGTTTTAATTTGGCTCCAGACGCTGCTTTTTTTCCGTGTCACACGGCTCAACTGGAACAGAAGAACAAACACTCTGTGGTGGCATGCCAGGTCCTCTGCCTGCTTCCCCACGGTGGCCCTAACTCCTCTCTCCCCCTCTCCTCCTCTCTGTCCCTTAGCGCTGGGACGTTGCCTGTCACCTTCCGTTGCCTGGAAGAAAATCTGGGGATCGATAAGCGCGTGACCAGATTCGTCCTCCCTGTCGGGGCAACCATCAACATGGACGGCACGGCCCTGTACGAAGCGGTGGCTGCCATCTTCATTGCCCAGATGAACGGCGTGGTCCTGGACGGAGGCCAGATCGTGACTGTGAGGTGGGTGCGGAGGGTGGGTGAGGCCCGACCGGCCTTTCCCCTTCCCCGCTTCCACGAGCTCCGTTCGACGGGGCCGCTTGAACTTCAGTTCTCCTGGCAGCAGAGCGATGAGGAGAGAAGGGACAGGAGGAGCTGTCGGCAGCTCAAAGGCAGAGACTGCAGGACAGAAGCAGGCTCAGGCCAACGCCTTCTGCTCGTGTGGCACGTGGGAAGTTGCTTCGGAAACTTGAGAGTTGAACCTGAGCAGCCCCGTGATGTCGCGAGGCAGTTATTTCTATGCTCATTTAACAGAGGAGGAAGCGCAGACTTCAAGGGCTTGGACCTTTGTCAGAGGCTATATCACTAGTAATGAGCTAGCAGGGCTGTGTCTGGGGCCAGCGTTATCCGACTCTGGATCCAGTTTTTCTTTCATTAAAATGTGCTTCCTTTAGCATTCCATGGGATGATGGATGAAATGATGGAATACTGCAAGGAAGAGATTCCTCAATACAACGTAAAACATTTTATTACAGTTAAATAGAAAATCTTTTTGTTTTTACTAAAGGTATTTTTTACCGTATGTCTTCATCATTTAAAATTCAGAAAGAACAATTGCCTAAGAGGTCATTGAAAACACATGGCTTCTCCATGAACTTAAAGATCATACCTACTTGCCTATATTAATTTATCCAGTCCTCACAACCACCCTATGAGGTATGTACTTGTCTTTGTGAGCTCAGGCTGCTATAATAAAATACCATAGCCCGGATGCCTAAACAATAGACATTAATTTCTCATACTTTTGGAGTCTGGCAAGTCCAAGATCAGGGTGCTGGCAGATTCAGCTCCTGATGAAGACCGTCTTCCTGGCTTGCATATGAACTCCTCCTCACTGTTTCTGCTCTGTTGGCCTGGCCTTGATGTGTGGACAGAGAGAGCTGGCTCTCTTAAGTTTCCTCTTATAAGGGCACTAGTTTCATCATGAGGGCTCCACTCTCATGACCTAATTACCTTCCCGAAGCCCGTCACATTGGAGAATGGGGCTTCAACAAGTGAATTTTGGGGGAATACAACTCAGTCCATAGGACTACTATAGAGGAGCCTATTTCCTCATCTGTATAATGGGGGCAATAATCACACATTCTAGGGGTTGAGAGCATTGCGCCTGGTATATAGTCGTCTGTCAATAAGTGTTAGCTACTAGTATTATTACTGTTATTGATACTAAATGAAATACTCCTAGAATATGAAAGAAAAAATGTGACAGTGACATCATGAGGGAAGCCATGCTTCGGGTCAGAATATCAAGCCTTCTAAATCATGTCCTAAGAGACTGCATGTGAGACTGCCAGAGTCCCTTGCTTTAAAACTCAAAGATGAAAAGGGCTCCTTAATGAAGCCCCTTCTTTTGAAGCCAAGCAAAGATGATTTCTGGTTCACAAATTGTAGGCCTTGAAGGCAACCACACCGCCCATCAAGTTCACACCATTCGATGGGAACATTGAGATGGGAGAACGGACCAGTGACCAAGTGATTAGAATTCATTTATTTAGAGTTTTTAATGTGGGGAGGAATCAAAGGACATCAGAAACAGCATGGCATTGGAATCAAGTAGATGAGTGCACAGCATCCAAGAACCAGCCCTAGAGAAATGAGCCAAGGAGGGGAAGGGAAAGCAGAAAGGGATAAGGGATGGAGGGGAGATCACTGCTCGGGGCGCTTCTTTAGAACTTAGAATTGCATGGACACTCAGCCCACGAGGATATGATTGGAGTGGAGAAAGAGAGGCAAAACCAGCTGCCAGGAAGTGTTCTCTTTGTAGAATCTGTCACACACAACCAAGAGGTAACCAGACAGTGTGGCCCTAGTGCAAAGGCATGTGTAAGAGTGACTCATAACAGAAGCAGCTGGGGTTGTAAATAAAATTATTGAGGCCAAGATTGTTGGAACTTGGGAAGTTCCCCTTCCCTGGTGCTTTATCCGGGTCAGGGAAATGGCTGAGAATTCCCACCTCTCAGCTCTTGGGGCTTTAGGGAAGTTTTTCATTGCAAAGCAGCCTCACCCTGTGGAGGTTTTCTGACAATAATAATAATTGACATTTATTGGGGGTTGCAATGTGCCTCTGCTAAGTACTTTTTGTTTATTAGCTCCTGAGTCCCATGAGTGAGATCCCATTATTTCCTCCCCTTTCACAGGTAAGGAAATCAAAGCACAAAGAGGTAAAGTTGCCCAAAGTCATGTGGTTCATAAGTGGCAGAGCTGGGATTTGAACCCCGGCCATTCAACTCCAGAACCTTCAGTGATAATCACAGATGGATTGTCTGTGACCTTCCTGTGACCCAGATGGAGCCAAGGAAAATGGAGTTCTCTAAACCCTGACATCAGCTCCACGTCGGTGGGGCAGGGGAATAGCACAGATGGGTTCTGTAGGCCCCACCTAGGGAGGTATCTTCACTGTAACAGGCCTAAGTATGAAAGGAGGACAATATGGAAAAACAAAGAAAACCACAAAATGTCCTGGGGCCTTCCTTTCCTCATATGTGAAACTGGATAAATTCAGGTCCCTCCCAACTGTAAGACCCCAGGATTCTGTGCTTGGTCACACTGATGGCCTGGACCTTGGTTACTCCAGTTTAGGAGCCTGATTCTTAGTTTGGAGCTCAAGGAGCTACTCTAGAAACTCTAGAATTTTATTATTGTGAAGAAATCAGCTCCCCTTTGCTTTCCAGCACCCACAAAAGCAAGTTGGGGATCTGTATTTTCAGAAGCATCCTTCCACTTAGAAATGACAGCTTTTATAAATGGCCTCCAGGAAGGAGGAAGAAAAGTCACTGCCCTTTGCTGGACCACAGAGGCCCCTGGTGTCTCCACAGGGAGCTTGAACCCTCGATTAAACCCTTCTTCCAGAGATAACTTCAAAATGGTGCTGGGTGTGCCCTTGTCATTGCTTGGAAAGCAAATGACGAGATGCTTCAAACAGAAAACATCCCGTTATTTCATTATCATTTCTTGGCACCTGCTGTCTGAATAATGGATTTTCCAGTCTATGATGAAGCATCCAGGCATCTGAAGCCTAATGTCATTTGGAATCTGTTGATTTGTTCCCCTGATGTCCACTTAGTTGGGCTGGATATTTGCTATTCTGAGTTCTCATGTTAACATTGGCAATGGTCTTCTCAGACTCTTGCCACGTAGTCCAGAAGCCTCTGGTGCTCACAGAGACATAAAGGCGAAAGCAGAAAGAGTGGTGTTCCCGTAGGAGCATTAAAGGCGATTTGTTTTTCTTCTTTAATATTTCCTTACCTGATTTTAGAGCCAGGCTTTTTTTTATTTATTTAATCTGAGCCCTGTGATATTCTAGGCTACTTGAATATCATGATGGGGATAAGACTTCAACCCATGAATTTATAAGTTTCCACCACAGTTAAGCAGAATCCAAATAAATCCTAATTCGTGGGCATTGGTACTCTAGATTTCTCTACTTCTTGGGACGGAAAGGGGAATTTATGACTGTTGGGAACATGAAAGCTTAAAATTGCCGGAGGTGGTTTTGCCAAGGCCATTTTCTCTTCCCATGACCTGACCCTCTCTGTTCTCACAGCCTCACGGCCACGCTGGCAAGTGTTGGAGCAGCCAGCATCCCCAGTGCTGGGCTGGTCACCATGCTCCTCATCCTGACAGCTGTGGGCCTGCCGACGGAGGACATCAGCCTGCTGGTGGCTGTGGACTGGCTGCTGTAAGTGCTTGCGGATGGGGTTCTGCTGGGGACAGGACTACTGCCTCCAGGGGCGGAGAAGCTGCAAGGTTGCAGCCAAGATCTTAGCCAGTCCTCATTGCAACTCCCTCACTTCCTCCCTCCTTTCTTCCCTCTAACGTTTACTGAGTGCCTATTTGGGAACCAAAGAAGACACAATCTTTGAGGGCCTCTCAGTCTAGTGGAGGAATCAGATAAATTGTAAGATAAGGTTAGAAGCTTAGCAGTATGGAACCAAGTACTGATGCGTGCAAAGGATCTCAAATCATTACGTTGAGGAGTATATACTGTATGATTCCATTTATATGAAGCTCTATGAAAGGCAATATAATCCCTAGCAATAGAAAGGGATCAGTGATTGCCTGAGCCCAGGGGTAGGGGCTTGAGGAGTAGCTGGGAAACTGCCCAAGGAAATCTTTAGGAGTAACAGAAGTGTTCTGTGTGCACAGGTGTGCATAGGTGTCTACACTTGTCAAAACTCATCAAACCATGCATTTAAAATAGGTACATGTATTGTGCGTAAATTCCTCTTCAACAGGGTAGATTAAAAGAGAGCACACGCATGAAAGGGTAGTGATAGAGGCACCATCCCAGTCTAGGACGGTAGGGCAGAGGGGGTAAATCAGGACACAGTGGGAATGGCCACTGAATTTGAGCACTCACCATGTGCCAACTACTCTAGTGAGCACTTTACATCTTCCTCTGACAACTCCTGAAAGTTTGGTGGTATTACTCCCATTTTATAGATGAGGGAGCTGAGGTTGACGGAGGTAATGTTACTTGAGAATGAACAGAGATGTAACCCTAGGGCTGCTTGGTTTTGGAGGCCACCACATTCATAATCATTCATATGTAAGTTTGTAATGGCAGTGATAGCTGAGCTGAATCACAACTGGCAGGTAGAAGTTACCCAGGTATACATAGGTGGGAGGGAAAACAGGATATTCCAATCAAAGCCAGTCTGCACAAAGGCACTGAGGTGGCATGGTGGGGACTGGTGAATGGTTTAGTATTGTTGGAGCACAAAGTGTGAGGCAGGGAGTGCCAAAAGGTGAGGCAAGATGGACAGTCTTAAAGGCCATGTAGAGAAGCTTGCACTTGACTCTGTACACATAGCCCAGCTACCTGTCCCAGTGAAATATATTTTCCTAGTGTAGGATGCTCCCTGTCCATTCACAAAGGTGGCCCCTCCAGCCAGGTGGTCCCCAGTATGGAGGTGGGAATTGATCCTTGCTAAGGACACATTCAGGCTCATGTTCTGTGGGATGTGCACCGAGGTCTCCTGTCCAGTCTTGGAGCTGTATGACAGGGGCTGGTGAGTGCCATTGACTTCAATGTCAGAGACAGAGTGGCAGTGCTGACGCAGGGGTCCACGGCCGATGTACCTACACGTTTTTAAAACTGCTCCACATGCTAGGGGCAGTTTTTCTGATATGGATTGGCTTTTAAGAACCAGAAGCCACATTTTATGGACTTGGGTTTCCCCAGTGCTAAAGTAAGTTCCTTCCCTCTATATCTTAAAGAGCGAACCATGTGCGTGGCTGAGGGAAGGACATCGGGGAAGGCTAGAAGATAGCCCGGTCTCTCCATAAAACTTGGCAATGGTTCGGGGACAGAGCACACAGTAAGACTCATAAATTCATGCTAAACTTAACCACAGAATTGCTGCATAACAACCAGGGGCCTTTCTACACAAGAAGAAAGACAGAGAAAGCTATTACAATCCCATCTTCTTCTCCTATGACTTTTGCTCACTGAGTCCTCCACCTCTGCCCCTGGAGCCTCTCAAACCTGTGTTGTCATCAAGGGTCCCTTGCCTACTGTGACGATATTGCCTAGTCTTTTCTTGGGCTTGTTTCTGAGGTCCAAAATTCACTGTTAGAGGTTCATGTCTTAAAAATTATTATTATAGAGGCTGCCTCCCCCATTATAATGCAAATGCTTTACAGTGCAAAAAAAAATGCACTAATATTATCCAGAAATGAAGAAAAGGAGCTTGTGTTTGTGGGTATTGCAGTGTTCCTCACATCTGTTGATAATTCCTAAAGAGCCCTACTGTGTGTTTCACAGAGGAAACCGGGAATCAGAAGGGTCAGGTCTCTTACCCGGGGCACAGGAAAGCTTGTGTGGCCAGGTCAGGGCCTTTCACTGCAACCCACCAGCTGCCTACTTAGTCCCAAGCAGGCCTAACAGTGGGAAGCTGGAGCAGAGAGAGGCCCAGGATTGGAAAGGTTGGAGAAGGCAGCCCTATTAGGGTCACCTCTGGTTCTACATGCTAACCAGAGGGTTTTTTGCTTGACCTGTTTTTTTCCCTCCTCTCAGGATTAAAACAAAACAAAACAAAAAGCCTAAGTGGGGACAAATGGGGTACCATCAAGGTCTCAGCCACTCTTAGAATTCAAGTTCTCCGGTCCCAGGAGGTCAGCCATTGTGGGCCTGGTCTTCTTGGCAGTCATTTGCTTCTAAGCCTGTTGGATGAGACTCAGATCAGGAACCATCCAAGGCCCTGCCTACTTCTGACCTAAATGCTAGCAAATGGAATAGGAGGGCTGGGTCCTCCCTGATCACCCCACACAGGCGCTCGCGTGCTCACACTTGCACAGAGAGCGGGGCATCCTCACTCCAGGGCTGAAACATGCTAGTGGAAGGGAGTTGGCTGAACAACAACAGAAAGGTTGATACATTGGGATTATCTATACTGATGACACCATATATGAGAAAACTTGATCCCAGGCTGGGTTGGAAAGGAAGGAGCGAATGAAGAGCTGTCCTCAGGTTCTGGGGTCTGCTCTCTGGCGATCAAGGGAAGGGAGGCGAAGAGGCAGGTGCCCTGGGTCTGAGCCCTTCGCTTGTCCTCTGTAGCACTTCGGGCAGGTTGCTTACTCTCTGGACCTCAACCACGTCCTGTGCCCAGGGAACAACAACTTATCGGTTTGAAAGCAGAGTCTAGACCTAGCGCCCTTGAGTGCCCTCTAGTTGTAAGACCCGCACTAGGATTCTGCAGGTGATGGAGGTTTGTAATCCAAATAAGCATGAATGTTCCTTTGGAGAAGAGAAGGGGAGAGTCGAGGATCCTGGGAAAATGTGCGTAGGGGTCTGTAGCTAGGTCAGACCTGCTCTGAATTAGTAATGAAGCTGCATTCTTTCCCACCAGCAAGAGGCGTTCCGGAAACACACCCTTGGCCGTGGGCTCCACGCTGTTGGGTGCCCGTTAATGTGTGAGTGGGGCAGGGGATGAGTTGATATAGGGTGTAAGGGGAGAGGCTGCTCATTTCCGAGGTAGAGTGGGATGTTTTTTCCTCTAGGCAAGACTTGTAAGCTTTCATAACTCTAGCAATTTTTCAATTTAAAACCAAACAAAGCCTGCAGCGACATTTCATGTGCCACGCTGTTTGCCAACTGCTGGAGACCAGCCACCCCACCCCTGTCCGCCAAGCCCTGGGCGCTTTGCAAAGGGCAGGCTAGCTGCTCTGTAAATGTCACGGTGAAAACCAAGATTCTGGGCCCCAAAAAATGCCCGAGTCCTAGACTCCTAGAGCACCGGATGGGTGGGGCTGGTAAAACTAGAACCTTCCCCAAGTCCAGGAAGCTCTTTGTGTCAGGAATCCTTGGCAGATATTTTTCAGAGGCCTTTCTGACACCCCTCTCATTTGAAGGAGTCAGAATGGAAAACTGGCAGCCGGTACCAAGAGAGGTGATAAATACCTGGGTCTGGCCACAGGTGGGAAAAGAAAAGCCAAAATAAAGTGGAAGCCAAGTGGATTGATGGCCCATTTATCATGTGAGACTGCTGGTGAGGTCATTTCTGGGAACCCGTTTACTAGTTTGGGTATGGTTGAGATGGCCCTTAAAAGGAAGGCCTTAAAGGGCCTCCTCCCTGCAGGGGGTACTCCCCCATTAGCATCCATCCCTGAAGGAGATAGAGCAATGATTCTCAAACTTGAGCATGCACCAGTATCTCCTGGAGCTTCAGAAGGGCTGGGATGGGGACCAAGAATTGGCATTGCTAACAAGTTCCCAGGGGAGGCTGATTATGCTGTGCAGGGACCTCACTTCCAGAAGCAATGGACTAGAGATGGGAAAGGGGAGCAGGAGCTCTTGGCTGTGGGGAGTTAGCATCTCTATGCTTTCCTGAGCACCAGTTGAGAGAGGTGACAGTTCATGCATCCATACAATGAAAATCAATGCAAAGGACGCAGGATGGGAATAGCTAATACTTAGTGACTGCTCCTTAGGCATTAGACATTGTTCTAAGCATTTTACATGGACTTGTTTCAAAGTTGCAACGAGTTATGAGGCAGCTAATAGTATTATGCCCGTTTTACATTTGAGGAAACTGAAGTTCAGAGAGTAGTAACCTATCCCAGTTTAGCGGATATTGAATGACTAAACTGGACTTCAAACCCAGATGATCAGGTGGTTGTTCTTTGGGGGTCCCAGGCCTGCCAATTTGGGTTCTCATTTCTTAATTTGACACATGCATACACACACACACACACAACTGACTTAACCCCGCTCCGTGTCTTGTGGAAAAGGGAAGCTATTCTTACATTCACCGTATCTCTGAAGATTCCAAGGGCTTACGCTGAAGTCTTTTGCTTTGATTTCCCACTTCCACTGAATTCTTTCCTTCCTACATCTTGCCTCATCTCCAGCCTGTGTCAAGCTCAGCGTGGAACGTGACCCTTTTCTGCTCAGTCCTTCCCTGCCAAAGTGTCTCTGATTCAATGCAGTGTAATTGCAGATCAGGGTGGTGGGGCTATCGATCTGCACTGCAAAATCATTCTTTAATGTATCATCAGAGAAGTACGTGCTCGTGGAAAAATGAAAGGAGGGGCAAAGCTCCGGAGAGTTATAAGATGCGAAGGAAACAAACCTCCCTTCACCTACAATTGGATCTTGAAGGGGAGCAGAATAGGCTACCCCTGAAATATTCCAATTGCCATGTGGATTATTTTGAGCTGAAGGCAATCGAGACCCTGCCGGCAGGAAAAACTTTTTACCTCCCCCTTAACTGCCTAAAAGGATTTTGAAAGGGATCCTGTACCAGGAAGAGAGCTCTTACCAAAGATGACTTTTTCATTGAAAAGACTTCTCTGCATGGCCGGGCAAGCATCTGTTTACCAAACATCTGCTCCTCTCATCTGCCTGTGAATCGTTTTCCTTCCCTGCGAAGCCCCAAACCCCCACCCCTCTCCTTAGCTCAGGATGGTATATGAGCCTCAGCTGCCTGACTTGTTGGAAGTCTCATGTTTTTATGGGGCTTCTATAAGTACAAAACTAAATTTTTTTTTTCCTGTTTATCTGTATTATGCTCATTTAGTTACTAGACCAGCTGGAGAACCTAGAAGGGAAGGAGGGACAATTTTTCCACCCCTACAATCTCAAGTGTTGTTTCTCTGAAGTAGTCACTGTTAATAATTTTAGGTAATGCAAAAAAGTAAAAGTTTAATATTAGGCATCCCTTTCCTTAAAAAAGAAAATCCTTCAGTGTTCCCCACCCCTGGGAATCCCTCCCTACTTGTGTTTAGTCCCAGTCTTAGTGCTTCCCCACCTCGCCGGGGCCCCCTCCCTCCATCTCTGTGTCTTTCTCCAGCTCTCAGGACACAGCTCTCACTTTCCTAGGCAGGGTGATTTGGCTCTCTGTGTCTCCCTCCTCCTCCTGGCAGATCTCGCCCAGAGTCCTAATTTTCACCACCAAAACATCCAACTGATGTTTGCGAAACAAAAAAATAATTCTTTTTCTAGAGTTAATCTGCCCTCTTAAACTAACAATCCATCCCCACCTCCTTCACATTCCTGCCTGTCCCCTTCCCACCAGCCTGGTGTCTTAAAGAGGTAAACCATGGTGTCAGCCCTCAAAGAGCTTACAGTCTAGTAATGGGGACAGATGTGGTCAAAAAAAATCCCAACAGAGTGTATTAGGTGCAAAAAGAGGAATCTATGAGTGAGTGGAGGAATGAAAGAGGAAATGATACTCCCCTGATTACTTAGAATAATAATAATAGTAACAGCAACAACGATGGTGATGAAAAGCCAGGGTTGAGTGCTGAGTTTGTGTTGGGCTCTAGGTCAGGCCTTTTAGATGAAGAGTTTGGCAGAGGACCTCTCAGATGACAAGCACTCAGTGCATGTCAGCAGTTATTTCCTTCTCAGCATGCTTGGAGGTGGATATTATTTTCCCTACTTTACAAATGAGTAGGCTGAGCAGGAAGGGCTAAGTAACTTGCCCTGCTGGAGCCAGGATGACAATCCAGGCTGGAATCCAAATTCACACTCAGCCAGTGCTTCCGTGGGCTCTCCTTCCCTTTCCAAAATTCAAGTGGCTTTAGTCTTTGGATTCCCAGAATTGTGCCAGCCTTGTCAGGTCTGGGGCCTTAGGTGACCCCTCTACCACACTGGGCATCCTGCCGTCTGAGAGGCAGACACGATGGCTTGTCGCTATGAATGTTAAGTTGAGTCATATGAAATTGCCAATATTTGCTGGTAGGGGATGTATAGAAATGGCAAGTTTATGTGGTTCAACCCAATAGAAGGAACCAGATGAATTTTGGGCGACCTTGCTTCCCCGCTCTGTTTTTCTGTGAGAACCAGGACTTTCAGACAATTCCATCATCTTCCCACCAGAGGATTTAGGTGGAGAGATAGACAAGAGAGAGAACACCTTGGCTTTTCTTCTAGGAACCAGCCCCAGTGCCTCAGTGTGAAACAGCTCATTCAGCCCCCCTCTCGTGTTTGGTTCCTAGTTGCTCCAAAAGCGATATCACCTGTAATGAAGCTAATCCAATGAAACATTCTGCTCTCATTTCTGCCTCCTTCCCATAGTCCTGACACACAGCATCCAGACCCAAGGATAGCATCAAAAACTCTAAAATTATTTTTACCAAGTAGCCTAAAAGCTCCTGAGGTCATCAGAGCCTCCTCAATGGTCAGAGCTGGCTGTGAGAGAAAATGAAAGTATTAGTCCATAAAGGAATTTTCCACATGTGAACCATAAACTCCCACATCCTGCTTGTGGCCAGAGCCAGACTTCCCCAGGGTTGGTCAGATATTCCCCTGGCGGCCTCAAAAACAAACCCAAAGTTCTTCTATCTTCTGTGTCCCTCCATCTACCATCCCTTCTCTTCACCTCCTCAGTCATCTTCCTGAATAAGTTCACTATACATAATGTCTCCACTTCCTCGCCTCTGGTTCAATCCTCCACCTATGGGGAGCTGACTTCTCTCCCTGCCCCCGTATTGAAGGCGCCCTTGCCAGTCAATGATGGCCTCTGGGTTTCTACAACCAAGAGACACTTCTTTTTCTTACATTACTTGAGCTCTAGGTAGTGATGGGCATTGATTTTTGAAACATGCTTTCCCCAAACTCTTCTACTCCCCTTTCACTTTTGATGATTTTTATTTCTTTGCTCATTCCTTAGGTGGTATCTGCTTTTCTCACCTTACATGCTCTCCAGGGATTAAACCAAACACACCAGTGGCATCCACCCACAGCCTCTCTAGATGTTGACTCCTAATTCACTACCTGCAGCTTAGATGTCCCTCTTGATCTTTAGTCCATATTCCCAGCCACTTGAAGGACATCCCCCCTCTGCTGGGTCCAGACCCCCTCACACTCAATATGTTCAAGTGGACACCAGAGTCTTTCCCACCACAATCAGTTATGCCCCATAACTATGGTAGCACTATCCCCCGGCTGCCCAAACCAGAACCCTGAGGGGAATCCTTGACTTTTCTTTTTTATTCTCTACAACCAATCAGTCCTCAAGTCCTGTAATTCTGTCTCCTAAATCTTTCACAGATTCATCTTTCTCCATATCCACCACCTTCTAAGAGAGAGACTTATCAACCATCCCATTTTTTTCAAATCAGAACTTGAAAAACAAGATTTAAGGAAGGATTTTTCTTAACGGTTTCTTGTTCAAGAGGCACTCTGGAAGATTTCATTTTTTTAGGTTAATAAAGAGAGTAAGACAAAGTATTTTGGTTTTTCCAAGACACATAGTCACTACACATATTGGTCAGGAAGAAAATTGTGCCTGGGTTTCTTACCCAACAGCTGTGTCTGTGTATATGTGTCTATTGCGGCGTGACTGGGGTGTAGGGGGAAGGACAGTGTTAGTTTCAGTCCTTACAAAAAGATGGATTTTCTGTTATTAGAATGTGCAGGTGGTCATTCTTTCCTAGCGAATTCATAAATTAAGTGGAGGTAATCTTTGAAGTGGAGTCTTCTACAAACAGTATAAATCAAGAAGTGCTGGACGCAACTAGGAGCATCTGGAACCAGGTACTAATTCTGAGATCTGAGACCTGGACGCATGAGTTCCCTCTAATCATTTCATTCCTTCCCTCCTTCTCCTTTCTCTTTGCTGTTGTTTATTGGGTGCTTAACCTTCATCAGACAGTTTTCTAAGCAATTTATCTACATTTTCTCATTTAATTTTCACACAAGCTTATGAGAGAAGTATGACTGTTATCTCCACTGAACAAACAGAGAAATCAAGGTCAAGCAACTTGCCTGAGATCAGGCAGAGGGAAAGGTAAAGCCAGAATTCAACCCTAGGTCTCTGGTTCTAGACCTTGACCTCTCAACCGCCATAGTATTGTGTTTCCTCACTAAACATTTTCTGTTCTTTGTCCCCAGGGACAGGATGAGAACTTCAGTCAATGTTGTGGGTGACTCTTTTGGGGCTGGGATTGTCTATCACCTCTCCAAGTCCGAGCTGGATAACATTGACTCCCAGCACCGAGCGCAAGAAGATATTGAAATGACCAAGACTCAGTCCATTTATGATGACATGAAGAACCATAGGGAGAGCAACTCTAATCAATGTGTCTATGCCGCACACAACTCTGTCATAGTAGATGAGTGCAAGGTACCTTTCCAATTCATGGATATCGAGACCTGTATATAATAGTGCATGCTTGATTTCTTAAAATGAGCACCAAAGCCCTGCATGTATTACTGTCACATTTATTTTTCTAAAGAATCATGTAACCCAAGCTTCTGTGAGTCCCAGATCATCTAACTCTGTGTCTAACACGACTGGAAATCAACAGGTCTAACAGTGAAAGAGCCGATCAGTTGCTTCTTTCGTCCATGTGATGTAAAGCAGTCATTCTGATTCCCCTATTCACCCACTCCACACATTTGATTGTTTTTCTTGAATATTTTGCCCAAGAATTTGTGGTCTCTGGGGTTTTGCTGGCTTTCAATTTTCTATTTCTCAAGTGAAGCACCAAGAGGCATACCAGAATCATTTGACTCATATAGCACAAGTATTTCTCCTTGCTGTGGATCATGAATCATGAATGGGTCAAAAATGTCCCCACATAACTATGCAGCTATCTTTGTCTTAATTATTTTTGTGGGAATGTGAGTTTTGACCTGGCAGTCACTTTGTTCCAAGTATGAGAAAAATTTCATGTAAAGGATATCTATCCTTCAGGACAATCATCCATAGATGTCTTCTAAAAAACACTACATTTCACACACTGCCAGGCAGCACCATCTTTCCTGAAGCATGGATGTTCTGGACTCTTCCAAGCTGTTGGGTGCTGTCTTCAAGCTCGATAGGCTCTGTCTAACCTTCTCTGTAACTAACTTACATTGTCAAAGACAGAGTGACATAACCAGAGCGAAGCAAACTTGGAGAAACCCTGGCAGGTGAGCCGAGTCCACTCTGGGGGTTGGGTTGCTAAAATGGTTCCAGGCAGCATCTGAGGACAATTTGAACTCAACACAAATTTCTGATACCTTTTTGACTCCTTTTGATGAGATTGCATTTATAGTTGATTTCTTTCTGTGTTACTTCTGGGTCATTCTAAATATACACAATGGCTTCTGCCAGGCCACTTAGGATGACACAGAAGCAATTCTATTTACTGGACTGCAACATAGGTCCAGAAGTCTCATGGACCAGCCACAGCCTTTTGCTTCTCCCTTCTATATCAAGTACAAGTGTGGATGAAGTAGGGACCCCACCCATCAAGAGGCAATTGCATAACTTAATTGACTCAGTGAAGATGATTTAAATTATTAGAAATTCAGATGTACTTAAAGAGTATACTCCATTCTCCTAGAAAGTTAGTATTCCTCACATCTAAATAAATGTCCTGGATTTTTCCCCATTAAAATGTTGGTTTTGGTCAACAAGGGTCAACATTCCCAAGGAATGGCTTTATGCTCTATTATATTTAATAAGTATTCATTGCGTGCCTTGTGAAGTTTAGTTGAGCAACCCTATCTCATTCCTATAACCATGTGTATTTTGATAATTCATCACATGTTTATTGAGTGACCATTATGTATAAAGCCTTGAATGGGCCATGGGAGATCAAGAGAATTAATGTACGATTTTGTAGTGGCCATAAGGCTTGATCCCAAATTACTGCCATACAAGGAAACATATTAGTATGAAATGAAATGAAATCACATATTTTTAATTTTGCAATGATGTATAAGAAGAATCCTCGTGGTTAATTGTCTATGTTGTGACCCTTCTGGAGCATCTCAAAGATCAGGACACGTATGGAAGAAGAAGATGNTAAGAAGAATCCTCGTGGTTAATTGTCTATGTTGTGACCCTTCTGGAGCATCTCAAAGATCAGGACATGTATGGAAGAAGAAGATGTGTAGGCAGGGAGATATCTTTATATTTCAGACTTCCTGGATTTTTTTTTTCCCTTAAAGGACATCAAGTACATCAGGAGAAATCTGCTTCATTTTTTAAGCAAAACAATTCAAGTTTTAAAAGGAAATGTTTGTCAGTTGTCCCTATCAGTAGGAAGTAAGCCCTTAAGGAGAAGACTGTGCCCCCATTTGTCAATGCTGTGTCCTAGCACCTGAAGCCACACCTGACATGCAGTAGGTGCTCTAGAAATATCTGTTGAATGTAGCTTTGTAGCATCTTGAGCCTATGCTTTAATTCAGGTAACCTTTTTTTTTTTTCTGGACAGTATCATGAACAGTGGCTCAGTCTCTCTTCATAATTGGCCACCTAACCAACCATCTATAAATTTGTTGGTGAATTAGCATTCACCAGGTCATGGAAATGATAATGGCCATATTGCTTTAATAAGTATTTGGGCTGTTTGCATTTTTTAGTGAAGGTTAGTTGGTCCTCAGCCGTTGCTAGGTGAGGCAAATTGACTCTTCTCACTCTAGACCAACTAACTGAGTTGACTCTAATGTGAGGAGGCAACCAGAGCTATGGCGATGAATTTGCACACTTTGCCAGAATATCTGAATCACATTTATTCATGCCTTTGAATTTCCTTCTGGCCCATTCTCAATCTCATTGTTTTAAAACCTGAGATGGGAGACATCAGTGCTTACTGGCAATTCCTTCCCTGTTTTCACTTTTCTATTACCCAGGTGGTTAGGGCAGAAGGAGTAGAATGGATCAGGGAGTGGTGTCCCAGATTTCTTTGACCCAGCCAGAAAAAGAAATACCAAAATAGCTGCTCTCCCAACTACTTTTGAAACACAGGCCCCAGCATTAAACAAACAAACAAACAAACAAAACAAAAGAACAACCCCCTCCTCCAAGAGCTGTCTGGTTTTCCAAAGGCACCACACCGTGATTCCTAATTCTGCACAGCCATGGATCTGGTTCCTCACTGAAAGCCAAGTAGGCACATTCAAGGTTGGCGTGAGCAGGCAGCTTTCTCCAGGCAGACAGTGTGTTCCTTCCTGGGGGGGTCTCTCCCCGCAGTTCACTGAAGGGGTAACAACTTTGCTGCAGCTCTGGTCAAAACTTTAACCACCCTAAGCATTGTCATGTCACGTTGGTCTCTATTTTCTAACTCTTGCATGGTGATAGTAGTTTGAAAGTTACGCGATAGCTTCTGTATTTTAATTATAGTAACTGCATGGGAGTGGTCATTGCTTGTTGCATGTGGGGGCCTAAGGGGGCTGGAGGAATGGCTAGTTTTTCTTTTCATTCACTTGGTTCGTGAGGGGCACTTGGTTTTCTGTTCCTGGTATGCTGTGTGTGTTTATAGTGCATGTGTTTCACTTCCACTCGGGGAAGGCCAGATTTTTTTCAAACGTTGCTGCGTTTGTCATGTCTCCATATTCTAATGCTTCCATAAATCCAGTCCCTCCATTATGTGGAATATCAGTCGTGGGTTTAAGTTTGCACATGACGTTGAGGACAGACAGATGGAAGGTAAGCTAGGAAAAATGTAGAAGTGGAGGGGGAGCCTCCCATTCTGTGTAAGGGTTCAGTTCGCTTAGAGCCGGGGAAGTGGGATATAGACAGTCTGGTGATTACATTCGATTAGTAAATGATCTCAGGTTTTTAACACCCCCTTTTTATTTTTAATTTTTAAAGCCTGCATAGCTTATTTGGTATCCAGGCCATTGTGCTTTCTGATTTTAAAATTGGACATGTATCAAATTCACCTGGCCTCCTTGCAACTGAACCTTTCACATGCATGAGTAGAACTAGCTGCCTGGCTCTGGATTTTTTCTCTGTGGTTGTATGGAGTAGCACACGGGCACTGTTATCTAAGGACTGCATCACTGTGTGATGGGTCTATGGATAGACACCCCACAACCCTAAAAGCATAGTGGAGGTTATCCCCCAAATCGCCAAGTGTCTCCAGGCCCTCTATAGCCCCCAAGGCAAGTAAGTATTTTTTAATGTTCACAAATCAGTGTTGAGTCCCAAGACTAGCTCAGAATCTCTCTGGGAGGAGCAGCATGTAAGACTGATATTGAAGTCACCTAGTCTCACCGGGATCTGTGCTCCTCCATGTAACCCGCGGGTGGTTCTCTGGTGCACGGCCTCTAAGCTGGATGTTGACGATAATTATTTTCAGGTAACTCTGGCAGCCAATGGGAAGTCAGCAGATGGCAGTGTTGAGGAAGAACCTTGGAAACATGAAAAATAAGGACGTGACTCTCAGCAATTTCTTGAATAAACTCCCCCACGTATCTCATGGTAAAAGAGAATATAAACAAGCTTTCTTTAAAGAGGAAAAAAATACCTATATTTCTATGTTTACTTAATCTGCTCCCCGAGGCTTAGAGGATCTGTTGTGAGTCAGTGATAGGCATGGTGCTGTGTCTTTGCCAAATAATGCTTCGTAACCGTCTAATTTTCTCACCTGTATTATTGTCGGAATGGATGCTTCTGGAGGGACCCGTTTGAATTGAAGACACATTCTTGCCAGCTTCCCTTTCCCCTCAAGATGCAGGACCGTGGATGCTCTTTCCCCAGGGGATGTGACTCAGGCGCCGTGGTACACTCCAGGGACTTGGGGTAATGAGCAGTTATCTCATGTGTGTTCTCTCTCCAAGTGTTCTCCATGCTTCGCCTTGTTACGCACAAGAGATTCTGTAGGGAGCCTCTCAGAGTAATTCTCCTTCAGTGTCTTGTAGAGTTTGCTCATGTGTTGATAAAAGCAAGTACCCGTCTTAGGGAGCTGTGATAATTTATCTTCTGTCTGCTTTTTTAGCTCAGTGTTTCAGAGAGAGTTGCAGTGGGAGCCATACCGTTAAAGACAGCTAGCTATGGAGCCCACTGAGCCTCTGCCCTGTCCTACCTAGTCTCTGAACATTTATTATTGAAATTTCAGAGTATGTTGCATAATTTGCTCTAAACTTGATAATGGATTAGAATGTAATATCCATAGAACCACTGTTATGTTGACAAAAGTAAGAGAACACAGTCCACATACATTTTAAACAGATTCAGATGTTCAAATTCATTGATCTTTGGTTTGCATTCATCTGTCAGAGTGAAATCAGTGAGATTATTTTTGTCTCTGCTTCACTTTCTTTGTTTTACCCATAAAGCTCTTGCTTGGGTTTCTAACAAAAAGACATTTTGGATCCCCAAATTATTTCAGTCATGTTCTCATTGAACTACAAGGCCTAATTATTTTGCTTTTCTTACACATGGAGGACAGTTGTGTTGGCTGGGCCTCTTTTAATACTGTCTCTTGATAAAAACAAAAGACTGTAATTAATCTAATACGTAGAAAGGTTTTTGTTATGTTATTTCAAAGCACATAAAACCAATTACAGGACAGAGTTGGAAGCAGAGCCAGACTTCCTCCTCAGTCTTCTCTGGGGAGAGGAACAGAAAACAAACATATATACAAAATCCTAAAAAGGTGCCGTTCTTGTGGCAAAGTCAAGGCAGCCTTGAACTGTGAAGTGGGAACAAAGGATGGCTCTACACAGCTTCATAGACGGGACGTTATCAAGGCTGCCTAAGTTTGGGGGAATAAGTAATATAATTGGAGTAGCACAGTGCCTTGCATGCTGTAGACACCCAATGAATCCTGAATGATTGTGTAAGTTAAATTTTCAATATCTCTACTATCATTTTCTAGTGCATAACCCACAGTATTTTTCTAAGGTTTCTCTCTTTGGGAGTTTGCTGAGAACTTGAACATGGATCACTGAGAAGTAAAGGACATTGGAAGGAGTGTGTAGAACCTTGGTTCACACGGGGGAGGCAGGTGGTCACCTGAGGTCAGCAAATGGATGCTAGATATTCATGAATAATGATAGTCTAAATTCTCTAAAGAGAGGATATTTATGGACATCACATACCCTTTATCAACTACTCCTTGTAACTTTTCCAAATCAGACACCTTTGGAACATACAAAATACCTGAGGCTTCTATTGTTTTTGTCTCTTAAACCCTAGTTATTTTTGAATAAGGATCATTATTGAGCAATACCAAGCAGGATTTTGCTTTTAAAAAATAGCATTGGTCTTCATTTTCATTAGAGGGACAGTGAACAGAGTGGCCCAGGATGTGCTGAAATATAGCTGTGGGAAATGTATCCTTTGCAGCAGATGCTGTGGGTCAGGGGGACAGTTCCTGGGTACAGCTGTGAAACTGTTAAGGGTCATCTGTAAGTGGTTCTCCCAAGCACTTTTTCATGGCAAGAAGGATCTAGGCAGGGCACCTAGGAGCTTGTGGTTTTTGCTGTTAAAGGCCAGCTTAGCCCACATGTACACACTGACATGTTTCTTGAAGGAGTGGTCTCAGGATTGTCTTCCCAAGACTCTGCCTAAATGTCTTCTCTGTTTGCTCTGTCTTCAGCTATTCCCTAGTTACCCAGTTAGTTTATAAGCATAGAAGGGGACAATGTGTTCAGATGAAACAAAGCACACAGCTTAGCAAAGCAGGTATTTCTGGTTTGAGACTGTATGCACTAAGTCCCATGAGAATCTACTTCGGAGATTACATTTATCTGGATTCAGCAAATCATGTTAAAAATTAACACTTTCTCCAATTCGAGTCAAGCCTGAAAATCCAGGATGCATCTAGAGCTGACATATGACTATATCCTTTGATTCTTTTTAGGTCTCATTCATTCTTCTCATGCCTGTTCCACTGGGGTTTTCCTTGCCCAGTACATGTGCCATAAACAGAACAAACAGATCTGGAGTATACCTCTAACAACTCTTTCTAAGTAGGATATGTATGATCTGCCAGTGATATATGTAGATTTATAGTAATAGCTCCGACACAGATATAAATGCTTGTAATCACCCATTAATATTTGATGATGCATAAATGTTATATTTATATACAAATATGGCAGGCCAGGTACATATACCGCATCCCATGAGGTCTGTAAGTCGGCTTTGGCAACACCATTGTGTTATAGACTCATTCACTCTTTAGGAAACAGAATTGTTTCAGGAGTAAACCAACTGAGCAGACTTTAATCCTTCCCAGTTTCATTTTTGCCCATTGGGAAGCCCAAGGGGAATCATCATTAGGTTACCTACTTCCAATTCTATGAATCCACTGCAATCAGTGAGAAGAGTGACTTATATCTCAAGGTGAAGCTTTAAGGCAATCACCTAGGTCACACAGATCCTCAGTGTAGGACTTCAGGTGGTGACATCTGAACCAGGAAGCTATCAGATTCCATTCCTTACTTGCTGTTGGGTGTGGAAACATAGCCTATGGTCTCGTTTCCCGCAGAAGCCATGTCTCATAAAAGGCAAACATTTACTTCCCTTCTCCCACTACTAGTTAGCCTGGATGTTTATGAAAAACTAAAACAAGGATGCCAAGATGCCTAGCTCCTGGATTTAGGCTGGAAGCTGAGAAAGGCTTAGGGGCAATTCAGTTCTTGGGGAGATGTGCTCCGGGTAGATAATGCCAGGAATCCCACGACCGATTGATTAGAGGGTCTCCGGTCATTTCCACCGGTGCATGGAGAAGTATGTCTTTTTCCCGTGTGTTGAAAGTCAAGAAGTCCTTCCGGAGTTGGGTAACTCATCTACTGGGTCCCCAGAAGAAAACCCAACCTTGCCATGGTTTCGCAAAGAGCACACTTCCCCTGTGTTCTCAACAGCAAAAGTGATGGTACAATATTTCCCTTTCGTCAGAGTCCAGGCCTCTGCCAGAGCTTTACTTTCCCATGAACCCAGCAGTCGGTCCGAACAGGTGCGCACACGCTGGGAGAGCCCTTCGCGGCTCAGGCTCCTGCCGGGCAAGTCTCAGCAGCCCTCGCCTGGCCCGTGACCGAAAGTGCTCGCTGTCGCACCCCGGGGAGGTGATAGCTCTTCCCACTTCGCTGCTCTTAAGCTCTTGGGACCGTGCACTTGTCTGGGTTGCTGGGTTTGCTTTTCCTACTCTTCGGCTGAACTCATTCCAAGCCAAGAAAAAAGGCCAAATGGGAATTTTCCGTTATTATAATACTTGCTTTTTGAGTGACAATAGTAGGACCTGGGAGCCTAGGAAGGTTAAGTTTAAGCTAAGAGCCTGCATTAGTTCTCAAGTGCGAGTTTTGTAATTCCACTTGTCAGAGGAGATTAATGGTCTCCGTATCTGTGGTAATTTCTGGCTAAAACCTGAAAGAAAGGCTACTGAGTGCCAGCCCGGGCAGGTCGCGTTGTCCGCAGGTTGTACTCCTTGAATGGAGTGAGTTCAGAGCTGCTTCTGATTTTCCCTCCTTTCCCCTCCTGTCTTTTTATTCTCCTTATCATTGTTGCCTCTTAAGGGACAGTTTCATAAATGACCATATGAGTGAGTGCAAGGGTTGGTTTTAGAATAGATGACAGGGAATCTTAATTGAATAGTATCTGATTTTATAGCATAAGAGCTATTTTGGGTAACGACATAGAGATGGTGAGAAACAACGCAGTTGAGTAGAGGAAACATTTGACTTAGACTCTGCCGGGTGTCAGCTGGATAACTTACACAAGTCACTTTATGCCCCAGCCTCCTTCCTTCCCATACATAAAGAAAAGGGGTTGGGTTAAACGATTAAAACCCCCTTCCAGCCCTAAGAATCCATGATATTACGATTTATTTAATTTTTCTTTAAGAGGCTTATTACTATAAAATACGACTTTACCTTTTAAGTCAGAAGGCCCCACAATAATGACGAATCAGTTTGGATTTTTCACATCCTCTTTGGGGGAAATTAAATTCAAGCCTCTCTCTTTATATGATGGATTACAACAAGCTTGGAAGATGGCCACATTAATCCAACACTTGGTGTTTTGAAACACAATCAGCCATAATTTTATAAAACTGCTCTTTGCTTAAACTCACCGTCCCAGTCGAAGTAGTGATTCAGCTCAGGAAAAAGTGCTGCCCGAGTCACCATGAGGGGACTGGACACATCTACGGCCTCACTCAGGCTCTTACATCATTCCTGCTGTAGCAACAGAGCCCACTCCAATACCCAGAACAGTTTTCTCCAAACAGTGCTAATTGCATTCGGGAGCCTTTGGCAAATAAACCTGAGCAGTCTTATGAAACTTAGTGCAACACTTGCACAATAACAGCAACTGTCTGTAAATACCTTCCCTCTCCTCCCGTGTGCAGTCATACTCGCCCATGCCCAGGTGAGCCTGGGGCAAGTCCTTTCTCTGGTTGAGTTTATTCTCCATTTTTCCTCTTGGTTTGCATCACATCACAGGTAGAGAAGCTCTATCTGACCAGAGTGGAGCTGTGCTGGCTCCCACTGCCCTCTTTAGTGCCTGC